ATTCAGCTTGTTAGACTATGAAAAAATTTGAATTATCTAAAGGTCAAATGAGCACAAAGGTCATATTCGATCTACGTAATAATTATTAGATATATCTCTTTGTTTCATTCTGTATCTTTTGTGAAATATTGTTTAGAAATCACAAGCTTGCTACAAATAAATTACTCATGTTCAGCATGATAAACTCCATGGAGTTCCAGTTTTACAATTGATATAATGCTCTTGTTTATCATTGCATATACTGTTATATTCTATAAACTTTGTGAATTTCCAAATTAAAACTTGTATGTCTTTAAATCGTGAATATTCATTTACGTTCTTATTTTCCTTTTTTTTTTCTTCTTCTTTGTTGACCATGTGGCTTTGTCTCTATTCTATTTTCTTCGATTTACTGATCTTGAATCTATTATCACATTTATGAATACTTATGTGTTCAGTATTTTCCAGTAAAAAGATATAAAACGAAAATGGATATATTTAGTTTAAGTAATGATACGTTTGAATTTATTGAAAGTGAAGGTCATTTATTTTGTCAAGAAACTGCTAGTGATTTTAATTTTGATGATGAACTAAATGATATTCTATTGACTAAATCATCTTATTCTCAACAAATACAAATATCACCATTACGTCCAATCGATTTACCATCACATAGAAAACATTATGGTCTTCTTACATTTTATCAATATCGTATTCCAATAATCTTTCGGTTTGTAGTAGAAGTAATACGAATTGATATTTATTTCTTTTTCTTTTTATATAGTTTATCAAATAATCATTATGTTCCATATATTCGATTTTCATATGCATTAAATGTACTTGATCAACATCAATCAAATCGTGTAAGTCCCATACTAGATATGGTAAAAAATTTACCTATTCTTGAAATGACATCAATTGAAATTGTTTATTATGATCGACTTATTAATTCTTTATCATCAACTATTGATATTATACCGGAAAATCATTCGGAATGGTCGAATAGATTATTAAGTGTTGCTTTACTTGATTGTCTTCTTGGTATACTTGATTGTTCAACATCATTTTTTCAAACAAATGATTTAAATACACAAAAATGGGAACAAATTCTTAATACAATGAGGCAAGAAGTAAAATCCCGATGGACAATTGAAGAAAAATTAGTTTTAAATCAAGTAGAAAAGTAAATAATTTCTTTTTAAAAAGATTTATTTTCTAGTGATACATTTCACTTGTCATATTTAGACATGAAGAAAATTTTTTCTAACACAGACTATTGCATTGATAAATTCAGTATTCGAAATGAAATATCTCGAATTGAGAATATATTTATTTATTCAATGCATATGTTTATCGTCATTCAAAAAAAGAAAAGAACAAAATTCTATTGCAGACCTATTGAATTCATCTATAGTAAATAAGTCTTATTTTAAATTGGATACAAAATAGTAGTGAATAAAATTCATATGAAACTTACAGACAGGGTTGAAAACATAAAAAATTGATGTTAGCATACTACTCAATGACCTTACTATGAAAACATTTTGTCAATAATTTTAAAATAAAGGTGACCTTCATTTCATTTTCATTATTAAATGTCTTTCAGATTCATGTCCCATGATATCGAAGTAGAAATGAAATCAATACTAAAAAAAAAGTAGTTAAATTTGTTATAGTTTTAAGCGATTTGAAAAGGTTTTTTTTATCTCGGTTTTCTCTTCCGAAGGAGCGATTTACAACTAGGATCGGTACGATTCTTGCTGGAAGTACAAATACATAGTACATAGTATAAGAACCACAAGCTTCGGGAGGATGAACCTGATCTTCTCAGGGGCACTGCTCCTTGGTTTCTATGTTGAATAAAACAATGGATCTGAAATAGTTTTCTCTAAGTTGATACTACTGATATAGAAGTTATCAGGACGAAGATTAATCTAACTTAGTACTGGATGTCTCTATAGTGAACTGTTGTTCTTCATGAGAAAGTGTATATATAGACTAATGTTGTTCACATGGATATTTAAAAAGAATGAATTGTAGGCTTGACAATAGCTATCAAAAGAAATCATTGTACTTCTGTTATGTTAACATTTATTTTTAATGTTCAGTTTATTAGAATTGCATTTGGAAATAGAACTAAATAAATTTTTCTTATAGACAAAATCGACAATCAACTAATGAATCAAATTCACTATGTATTTCATCAACAAATATTGCACAAAGACGATTATTTTTCGAAAAACGTGTACGATATATTTATGATTTCTTTTGTTTTATTCAATCATATTTATATGAATCTTGTTTTTTGATTAGCTTGATCTATCGATTGTTGAAGAATCTGGTGGTTTTGTTCAAATTGATTCATTTATTTTTCCATATATTAAATGTTCTAATGATAAGAAAATTTACATAAATTTAAATGATATTCATACTCGTTATCATCAATATTTACTTTTACCGTCATCGTGTATCCGTTGTTTTTCTTCAGACTCATCTGTAGCTCATGCTTATAATATTATAAGTGAACAAGCACGTGAAAATTTCTTTTGGAATTCAATTCATGGCAGTGGTTTTATGTCAAAACGTTTACCAAATCCCAAAACACAAGATTTTCAATTAAAATTTCTTTCATTAGATATTTTTCTTAAATCAAAAGGTATATGTTTTGTACAATTATTTGAAAAATCTTCACTTGAATATTTAACAACACATTATAAAAATCAATTTGGTCGACAATTTGTTATTGATGATAGTACAAGACGATGTGGTTTTATTAATAATGAAATACCATATATTCGTATTGGTAAAGATGAAGCTCTTTGTCGATATTGGATACCAACCGAAACAAAATCATCTCGTTTAATGACACATGATGAACGTTTGTTTATTAATTGTATGCTTTTATATCATGGTCATTGGGATATGGTTCTAGCTAAAGAACAACGTTGGTATTTAGAAGAACTTGATATTGATGTACAAAGTTCAATTATGAATTTATTTGATCAAGAATATTATGAAAGACAACAAAGAAAATTATTTGTTCATTGTTAAAAATATTTGTTAATTGCTTTTGAAATACAAAAAACAAAAGAAATGAAAGTTTTTTTTCGAATAAAAAATGAAAGAAGTCAACTATTTCATTCATGCATTTCAAGTGTTTTTATGCTATTGGGACTCAATCAGGAAATTAATGAGATCTTGACATTTCAAAATCTTTATCATCTTCGAACTGATATTCATATATGAGCATAATAGTGAAAATCCGTTCAATCATAATCGAGCGATTTATTGTACTTGAGAACAGATCCCAGAACGAGGTAACTGATTACAAAGAGAGGAAGATGCATTATCAAATAGATGAATATCATCATCATGATGAGAAAATAGCCATTTATATATCCACAATTATAACTTTTGGCATCAACAATGCGTTTCGTTTCAGCGTCATCAGTAGCAAGTAAACATATTCGTAGGGAAATTAATAGAATTTTAGAAGCAGAAAGATATATATATATATTATGCATTAGTGAGATGAACTCACAGATGCTTGTATCTCTGAATCCCAAGCACTCCTATAGCTAACTTTTACGAAATAAAATATATGTTGAGTTACTCGAGATGCGGTGAAAAAATCATCACTAAGAAGCATTCTTTATATGAACTATTATTAAAAAACGAGTGTTAGCCATAGCACACAAAATAAGACAAAAATGCTTATTGTATGCGTTTTTGTTTAAAACTACTGCAAGTTCACACAGTATTTTTCAGAAATAAATTGTATCTCTTGCAGAGAATTTTTCAGACAGCAAAATCTGTGAGCTAAGTTTTTTTCTCCGAATATGTTTAGCTTTTCTCAAAAAATTTAGTTTCCTTACTGTTAGCTACATAAGAGTACGAATAGAGAGACGAAACAAATGCTTTAATAATTGAATGCGAAATTCAGAAAACCTCTAGAAAACTGGTTTCTTTACGTAGAGTCTATCCTAAAGTCTTAAGATTTTTCTGTCATACGTTTAGAAAGTTATTGGCTAATTTTATTTTCACTTATTAATTAATTAGTGAAAACTTTCTATTCGGTGAGACCTTAAGAGCCAACATTTTTACATATATTCGCGGTAAAAGAACATATTCAGAACAATAAACTTTGTAAAGAATCTAATTCAGATGACGAATAGTCAAGTATCGTCTTACCTAATATTAATCATGTATAATTTTTAAATTTGTAAGTATCATCTGTTCTTGAGAAAAAATTTGTAATGTTTAAATTTAATTTCATCTCTATGTTAAATGTTACTAATGATAAGTCTATTCAGCACACGTTTATTAAAATACAGTGAAACTATAGAACTGATTGTCCTTGAACAACTCTATGGACTCTCTAAGCGCTCGTATTCTAATTTTGTCAAATCAATGCATAAAGACCTAGAAAATTTCATTTATTATCTTCTATGTTGAAAAAAAATCATTCTTTATACTAAGCGAAGTTTTCAAATTGTAGACAACATGAGATATTTGGTTTTATCATTTTGCATATAAAAAATTTATTCAAAAATAAATAAAATAAATATTAATATGATTTGATTTAATTTTATGATAAAGCTCATATAAGCATTAAAAGACAGACATATCAAGAATTTCATTATGAAAAAAGAAAAGAAAAATACGTTTTCAATAATGATTGTAGGAGAAAAATAATAATAACCAAATAATTCAAAAGACCATTTTTCATCGCATAATTTTTATTTATTTATTTATTTATTTTTATCATTCTTGATTTGAAAAATATCCTTCATAGAAAATAAACTCAATATTTTTTATTGAATGTAAATCATAGTACAACAAACATCTACTACTATTGAATTCATTTCGATAGTCAATAAATAAGAACTTCAGATAAATAATCTTTCTCTGTCTTTTTTTTTTCCTTAAGAAAAAAAAAAGAAGTCTCTCTTTTCTTATTTCATCACATTCTCTCAAACTTCAAACGAAAACAATACATGAATTTATTAAATTTTCAATCAATGTCTAAGAAGTGTGTTATTGATAAATGTAGACGCATACCACGAGCATTATGTCAATGTTGTAAACAAGATCTTTGTTATCAACATTTATGGAAACATAATGATTTAATTATTTCTCAATTGAAATCATTAAGAACTGGCATTCATGAAGTTAATCATCGATTTAAAACAGTTAATACTCAGGAATTAATTAAAAACTTCGATCGACAAATTAAAGAATGGCGTATTGATTGTTATGTAATAATTGACCGTTTATTTGATCAAAAACGTTTAGAATTTCATGAATATATTCATGAAAAAGTTGGAAAACAACGTGAACATATTGATCAATTACAAAAACGCATCGATGAATTAGTTGAAGCTGAAGGTGGAAATCAACAAGAAGTAGAATTAATCAAATCGAATATTCATGATCTTAATGAAAAAATTGATAAAATTGAAAAAGCTATTTTTCCAATTACAACTTTACCATTAGTCGTTGATGAACATATTATTCAAATTAATTGTTAAAATTTTTATTCCTCTTGAGAATTCCTTGAAAGTATTTTTCCTTTAGAATAAATATAAAGAAAGTAGTCAGTAGTAGATTTACACGATTACATATACAGGGTGTCCCAAAAGTCCGTTGGAAAAGTTAATTCAAATATCTCTTATACGACTCAAGCAATTTAATCGATTTTTTTATAGTATGTTAGTATGTTCTTTAAAGTTTTGTTCTGTATATTTTTGGATAAATGTCTGTGCCTATAACTATTAGAATTAGAATAGTTCTATTAATGCCCAAATTTGAGTTACCTATCATTGTGAAAGGAAAAATGCAAGTCGAATTTGACATAAAAACGCTACACATGGACTGTGCTATTGCCGCTTTTCAAGGCCTTTGCGAAATGAGTATAGTAGTAAACAGACAACAATTTGAAAGACCTTCAAAAACTACAAAAGAGAAAATCAGCAAAGTTTATGATAATTGTGAAAATGTGCCACTATCAAGTGTTCGGGTTGTTGCAACAGCCTACTTCATTCCATGGACAATATCAGGACGAATTATCACTGAATATCATCTAATGAATCCATATAGAGTGTAATTTCTCCTATCATGTCATAGAGAAGATTCATAAGATCGAGTTGAAATTATATCACTTTGATACGCAAATTACAAAATATCCACAATCAGAAGAGCTCTTTTTTTTCATACAAAGTCTCTTTTCATTTGAATGGTTTATTAACAAATATAAAGTAGAGACCTATATACATAAGATATATATATAAAGATTTGGTTGAATTCAAAATAAGAACCGATAACGAAACGAAATTAGCTCGAAAATAAACTTTCTGCAATTTTTTTTAGAGATTTCAAAAACGATGGATTTAGGTATTATACTTCATGGTAATCATTTTGAATATTTGTTGCAAACTAAATTATGTGAAATAAAACTTTAAAGAACATACTAACACATTATAAAAAAATCAATTAAATTGCTTGAGTTGTATAAGAGATATTTGAATTAACTTTTCCGACGGACTTTTGGGACACCCTGTATATATATATCTTTTTTTTCTATGAAAGTACAAAAATATATATAGATAAAAACTTATAGTATCTCGACTTCAATAGACTTTATTTCATTTGGTATATATTTTTCTATCCGAAATATAACTAAAAAACTGTTAGCGCAATTCTCACAGGGTGGAAATATAAAGCATGATGTAGGTACTGTTACTAACCATCGATAGAGTTCCATGGTTCCAAAAAAACTGGAATCCTAAATCATCAAATAGATAGACAAATTTTTAAATCTATGTCGAGAAATCTTCATGTTCTTATTCATGAGATAACAGATTTCAGTATAAGTCTCAACAATTCAATAGAGAAAATTTTTAAAACAACATTTAAAACTTTCGAATTCATTTGCGGAAGTTAACAGTCTCAGTTCCACTTGATATTTTAGAAATCGAATCAGAATTCTTCTCCATCATTTTACTTGAACCTTCGGAGATGCGACAAGGACTTTGTTCATATATGATAATAAGATTTTATTGATCTATGATCTGTGGTCTTTTGTCAAAAACGTCTGTCACGGTCTGTGAGAAGAGGCAGAGGCCCAAATTTCTACATCTATGTTTCAATACTCCTATATTTCACAAAAGTTCATATGCACAATGAACTTGATATCACTCTTCAATGAATCTTTTGTGTAGCATTAGATTTAGAATATAAAATTCAATAAAAAAGTGTGTATACGAAGGATCATCAAAGAAGAAACAGTATTATACATAAAGAAAAAATAACGATAAAACAATCATGAGAGCAACGATTAATCGATTTAGTTCGATTAGAAAACAAATAGCTAGAGGGATAGTTGAATATGTTCATATAATGCAAAATATCATCAAGAAAATAGTTCATATATTAATTATTTTATTAATCATATTGATTATCATTGTGTTCATAATCAATAAGTTAAATTACAACTGATTAATGAATAAAATTGTTTTTATTATCAAAATGAAATATTCATTCAATTTGCATTTGAATATAGATGTTCGATTTAGCTCATATTGACCTATCCTTCTTCTAAATCTATTCATATTGAATATTTCGATAATTCTTGTTTCTTGTTTGTGCATGAAACAACTATACCACTTCGATATTTATACATTTTTAATACAAATAATTTTTTCACGTATTTAGATAATAAAAATATCAATTTATTACACCAAAACTGTATATGTTTTCATACCGAAACATGAATCATCTCTTCAAACTATATAATTAAAACATTTAAATAAAATTGAATATTAATTAATTGTGATATAAAACAAAAAAAGTATGATTATTATAGAAACAGTAAATCTAATAATTATTTTAAAGATGCTATTTTTCTCAATCTATGAAGAAAAATTACGGACGTTGTTTTTAGTATTTTGTCAAATTGACTCCATGAAATCTCGAATAGCATCGATTGCTTCTGCACTTGCTTGTGGAAAAATTCCTAAATTTCAATAGTAAAATATAAATAAATCTATAGAAAAACTTCTTTATTGTCCTACCTGGTAAACTAAAAAATGCATGAACGACACCTTTCATAAGTACTAATTTTGTTTGAACACCAGCTTTTTCAAGTAATTTTTGATATTCTAAAAGATGAAAGTTATACATTCTATAAAATCTATTAATTTCGTTTCTTTTATGCCTAAGTTTCCATCTCGAAGAATATCAAGATCAGCAACTATGAATAAACACGGTGGTAAACCTTCAAATGTTTTATTGAGTAGAGCAGATACTCGAGGATCTTTCACATCATCCAAACGATGATATGCATGTGTTGTATACCTATTCAGTAATTCAAAAACGAGTATAACATTATTTATTATACATCATTTCAAATAGTTTCTATACCATTTCATTAATTCAGGCGTAAGAAAATACATTGGCTTCGCAAATTCTTTATATGATGGTGTTTCACCAAGGATATCTAATGCTGCATAAACAAGAATCTATTTATAAATATGAATATCATCAAATTTAATAATCATCGAAAGAGTCTATACTTGAAAATCGATGCCCTTTAATAAACGAGAAATTGAAGCACTAATCATGCCTCCAGCACTGTCTCCGGCAACTCCAATTTTAGCTGTTTGATTAACACCTAAAATGATAACTAATAGATAGAAAAAGATTTTGAGAAGGTAAATAAACCGTAAGCTGTTTTATTTTGAATAATGTGTTGAGTAACATCCAATGCATCATCAAGCCAAATTGGATATTTATATTCAGGACCAAGACGATATTCTACAGAAATCCAAATTGTTTTTGTCGCACTACGTAGGAATATAAATAAAATGAATAAAGATAAGTTTATATGTACTCAGCTAGGGAATTAACAATTGCTTGATGAGATTTTCGACTACAAACAACCCAGCCTATTATATTCGATATTAAAATGAGTTAGATGTGTTTTTAAAATTTAACTTGATGGTTTTACCTCCACCATGAAAATAAATAACTAATTTGTCTTTACTAACATTCAGTGGTGTATAGACGGTAATTGGTATTTCTAAAAATACGTACTGTTTTGTTATAAAATATTCTGGCAACTGAAAATCTACCTGCAGAATTAGTTTTCACGATTTTTTCTTCTATTGTACTCTTGAATGTTCCATGAAGTTTTTCATTGATTTTTTTATGCATGTCTTCCACATGTAGACGCATTGTTTCAACTTCGATAACATTACCTTGCGGTAGAGCATTCTGTGAAAGGAATTGTAAAAATGCTAATGTCTCGTTATTAAATCGTGGATCCCTTGTAAAAAAAATCAAAAGATTCGCAGAAAGTTAATAGAAGTTATTGAAAAACCAAACAGACATATTACATTATAGGAGAATATATAACTATTTGTTAGTGTGAAGAATGTAAAAATATGTAATGATGATAACAGAAAAAAAAAGAAATAAATGTTGGTTGAGGCCTAATATACTGTCTCTCACATGGTAAACTATTTGCTGAAGAACGAAAAGAAAAACGAATCTAAACAAAAATATCCCATTGATTATTAAGACGATCTACAACATGATAAAAATGGTTGCACATACGCATACTCACGTGAGTATATAGAGTATCTGTTATTTTTCATACTCTTGCGTTTCATTTGTTATTATTTAATAACATGAATTATGATATTCATATGGGTCAAACTATGATTTGTCATTTCCATTAGGACTTGTTACCTACTGCTTTGATTAGAGGAGAAAATTGTTTCTATTTTTTCTCAGCGAATAATCTTTTTTATGTGCTTCTTTTTTTTTACATGTTATTTTATTTATATTGTGTACATTTTCCTATCATTAGGTCAAGATTATCATGTAAAACTTGGTTGATAGTGCCGTTTCTATAAATAGATGAAATGATTCATAGATACACATTTCAAAATTCTGCATTGACTATAGCCGTTAGGTCTTTCTTTAGTTATTCTTTTTAGAAAGTTTTCGTCTTTACATTGAAACCTGCTATATTTTACAAGAAATACAGATAAACATATGTAACATTAAAATTTCAATCATGGGTTGGCTTTAAAAAATGTTCGTTTTGTTCTTTTATTTTCGAACGATATTGGTAACCAAAGGAAGAAGAGTTTCATATTAAGTATCATCAGGGACATAGTATATGTCAGTATATTTTATTACGAACTTGAAAGCCTTTGTTAAAGTTCATAAGCATGAACAGAGTCAAAAAGAGAAAATTTTGCAGTTTTTCTAAAGGCTATAAACTTACAGTTACACGTTTTTGGTAAAATATCAGTTGATGTTAGTCACATTAAACAGATCTTGCTTTAGTTTGTAAAGGATGTGTAAATGGTGGGGGTCGACGTCAACGCCGCATTATGATCGTTTTGCCTTTCATATTTGATTTTCCATTGAGCTCTGTGTCAAGCATAGTACTGATTTGCAATGGTGAATTATATGCAGAAAAACTTGACCGTGCCTCAGATTTCGATAATCATCTCATCAAATCTTGCTAAACTTTGTGAATTTCATTTGGTATCGAGAAGATCAATAGAATAATCTTCGTTGTATTCTATTCATTTTTATTTCTTCTGTTCCTCCGCCCTATCTCTCCCAACCATTTCTTGTTTTGCGTCACAAGCAACAAAGTGCTACACCTTTTTCTAGTCATTTTTCTCTAGACCATCTGTACTTTTCAAAAGGTAACTCGCGACATAATCGTCATGGGGATGAAATCGAAGTCAGAAGAACACAACATTCTGAATACGCTGTGCATTTAGGTAAGTGATAAGTGTATTAGTCATAGTTATCTTTGCATGAAATTAAATTCCCTTCAGTTATCAGTAGCTCCTATTTTAATACATTGTATTCCAAGTACACAATGAAATATGTTTCTACGCCTGATGTAAGTTCTCATGATGTTACTAGCTTAGAATGATGATAAAAAACTTTTAGGTGAAATCTAAGAAATAGATGTTCAGGTGATTTGGAGCCTGTTTTCATAGTAGGAAAAGCACAAATATTTAATGCACGATCATTGCTGATCTCTATACTGAGAAGTGAATGACTTAACCGTTGTTCTATTTCTGTTGTACTTTCAACATTTCTTATTGGTTCCTTTGACTTTCTATCATCCGAGTATGCTTGTGTCACCAGGTATTGATCCACATGTAGTCTATTTCGAACCGCAGTCCTATGCGAAAATAAGACGCAAGAGAGTTTCACTCATACTAGAAATGTAGGAAGCCAGAATCAGAAAAAGTTTGCACCATATAAAAAGATGATTGTCACTGCCATGATTTTAAAACTTGTGCGCCATTGTTATTGTCAGAATTGCGATACTTAGAAGTGCAACAATGCACCATCCAGTAAGAGTTTTCTTTCGACTCAAAACGTTTCCGAACATGTCAAACTTCCTGCTTTCTGCATCAGTTTTGGGCTCAAACGATGCTCTTTTCCATAATGTTGAAAACAAGACATCCATTGGCTTAATATGCTCTGTATACAATTACCAACGCGTTCTTCTTTTGACTAAATCTTTGATATGATGGTCGTAAGCTTGAAAACATGCACATATACAGTAGTGGACAAAAGTCTCGACCCTAGCGGATCTTAGCCATCATAGGTGCTGGACATCTGAAAATTTGTGTTCCTATACTACTTCAAGAATGTAGATCAGTAGCACTACCCACACTCCAATTTCTTGAATAGAAAGGGAATTATGATCTATGGTACCTACTTCTGCTTTGAGATTTATAACTTTGGAAGGGCAGAACCTTGTGTGTCAGCCAACTCCTCATTATGTAAAGCTATATCCTAGCTGTCTACATTACTAATTTCAATGAAGCTCATCAACCCTTTTCAGAACTACAACCATTTTACTGTGGCCATTGGTATGGAGAAAAAGCATCTACTATCCTTCAGATACTAATAACTCAGTGATAGTTCAATAAATTGAGCTCAAACTTTTAGAGAAGCTTTCTCTACAGTTGGACATTATTGCCTACAAGTTTCAAAAGTGAATCTTACACTAAAGACAAATGGCACATTAGTGATCATAGTGTTAGTTTCGAGGACTCAGAGACACCAATATTCGAGCAAATGAAGTTATCTTTTGGATGAAGAAATGCCATAGACTGGATATCAGTTTCATGTAAAAATATCAACAATTAGTCATATATTTAATAAGAAACAGCATAAAATTTATTAGAAGTCTTTTTAAGGTTATAAAGTTCAAGGCCAAAAATGGTACCATCCATCCTAACTCTCTTTCTAATTAAGCAACCAGGGCGCTGTAATACCACTCACCTACATTACTGGTGTAGTACACGCACGTAGGTTTTCAGACCTCTAGCACCTATGATGGCTAAGATCCCCTAGGACCGAGACTCTTGTACACTACTGTGTCTTTGTAACTTTACATTGAAGATTGTCTCATGAATCACTGAATTATCAATGAGTCTTTCCAAATACTAAATGTGTTTCATGAGTACTGAACTGTTATCAAAGTACATGATCAGCAGTCGATATGTAAATTGCTAAGATATTCAAAATTAAAACACAATGTCCCATTAGAAATAAATCCAAAAATAGATCACAGATAACTCATGCATGCTTTGAAAAGTATGAATCTTCACAATCAAATTCACTTTAACGTCAAACTCTAACGTAAGTCAATGCCAATCGATTGACTCATACGAATGAAATAAAATTTGACAAGAGAGAGTCACATCAAAATCTTTTAGTTGACAATGCAGCTCTATCGAATAATTTCTTCTTGGATAATAGTTAATTACATAGAGTAAGACCTTTATCTGAAATACAAAAAAGCAGTCTGTCGTCTTTTTCTAGAAAAATATAACATAGCATTTATTTTGCAATCACTGCAAGCTGTTGAGTGATATGAATCGTTAAATTGTCCAATACTTGAACGATCTATTCACAGAATTTTATTTTGGCATATCTTTAAAAAAAAATAAATGTATGATATCAAATTAAAATTCATGCAAATAAAACTCACATCATCCAAGCGTTTTTCTGGAAAGAAAAAATGGGCTAGTTTTTTGTACTGCCATTGAAGATATTAGCTTTCAACGTGGCTGTTGAAATTTTTTGGAACAAATAAAATAAAGCTCAATTGACAGTGAAATGAAGCGAAAAGAATTTTAGGAAGGGACTTTTGGGACACCCTGTACAATGCTAAACAATTATCCAGTTTTGTTTTAATCACGTAACGCCATACGAAAGTGATTTGAGCAAGTATAATAAGAATACTATAATAAATTGCCGCTTAAAAGACTAATCTGATGCGTACTTTCTCATTCACATGATCTTTGACATTAATAAAAAGGTTATGGTTTTCGAAAAAGACTGCCATTACGTTCAGTTTTTCGAAAAAAACGATGCAAATTCTAAACCAAAATACAGATCCATTGGTAAAGAAAGAGTTGTCTTCACTGACCGTTTTCTGTTACCCGTTGAACCTTTGGCGTGGTACAGTAGACTACTCGATCGTATTAAATGAACTTTATTAGAACTATTGATTGTATATCATCATACAGTTCGTAACTATAGATTTCGAACGCTTTCATAATAGAAGATAATGACGTAGAATTGATATTGGTGTTTTCCTTAAAAAAATAACGTTTAATGAAATTCAATAAAATTTGTATTGCATTCTTTTTCTCAAACCAAGTATGTATATCCATGTTTTGCAGAAACTTTGAATTTCAAACTCAAAGCTCAGCTTTGAATCTAAATGTTGGAAGCAGTCTGAAAAAGGATATTTCTTTTGAAAGGAAAACCTAAGATTACGAAACTTAAATATTTTCTTGGATTTCAAGCTTATTTAAACAGTTGAACTAAGAAAAGTGATACAATAAATAAATAAAACAAAGTGATTGATGGTCTTTTTGTTTATAAATTAGATTACTAGATTCCAGGCTTTCCATCAACTACTATTCTAACTTTCCCTAAAATGATAAGAAATTGATTTTCAAAATTTTTGATTTCTCATTTGACATTTTTTTAGCGTAAAATTTTCCATGTATGATTAATAATAATTTGCAAAATGTTGCAGTGCCTCTTACTACAGTGAGCTTCGATAATATTCTTTTTAATTTTTCAAGATTTTTTTATTATCAATAAATAATTTTATTTCTTTATTAATTTGTATGTTATTTATGTGATTTGATGCATTTTTTAAACGATCTATCAGTATTAAATGCCAAAGCTTCATCAAATTTACCTTTCAGTGCAACTCCAATGCCATCTATGATACCTTTACCATGACTTGTTTCTAGGAATATTCATTTAATATCAATATTTTCATACATTGCATATTTTTTCATTAGAAACGCTGTTGTTTTGTTGCTTTATTTAAAGACTAGTGAAATTTACTTGCAGTTCATGTGGCTTCTGCTATGTGGCAAGAGCTGTCACTGATACTCGCAAACCTGAATAAACGATTTTTAGATCAAACAAATCCTGATTGAATTGCTATGTGATTTTCATAGTAATACGCATCTGAAGAAGAAAAAAGATATGAAAAATTTTGTCAAGAAATTGTGCATAAACGTGAATAAAAAAGTATTTTTTCCAATACCTTTTCGTCTCTTGCTTGTTTCAGAGTATAGGTTTCACTTCAATCTAATCGATTAGTTGCTGAATGGTGAATTTCTTTTCCTTCATCTTGTATTATATTAACGACACAAAAACTGTTCACGTATACGACAGGCATGGTCGTCTAGAATCTACAAACAGCGAGAAACACTGATGAGCTCTGTGAATGTTGTCAAATAGAAAAATGGTGACTTACAGGAATGCCTAGTGTGAGTTTCTTTACGAATGCTTTAACTGTAATATATATTGTAATCATTGCAGAACATGACGTTACATAATTAGTCATTTTCTTTTATGACCTTACATAATCAATGTACTTGTGTTTACTAGGCGAGAAAAAAATCATACTGAATTTTCTTTTCCATTGTTCTAATGAACCACGTGGATGAATTTCCGTTTTTATCTATATGACGTGAACTAGCACGTTACTTAGCACGTGGACTGACATGGTCAAAAAGCATTTTTAATAATGTGATGGTGTTTCAGATGGAAATGTACAAAATTTTGAAATTTCTTTTGTTAGTATTTTTTTTCTTTAAATTTTGACATATCCATTCTTCGTCTTCTTTATCCTTTCATGGTAAAGTTGTTTTCTAAATAAAGAACTTTTGTCTTTAGACTTTTTTCATTAGAAATGAAAGAAGGTAAACTATAAACTGCATATGAACATTTTCCGTGAGATTTTGTATATTGTCAATCTTTTATATGGTATAGAACAATGCCTAAATCAGAAGACACTGAGCTTCTAGATAAATTTTCGACATTTAAACGATAGCTCTTAGATTCATTGTTACCACCATCTAGATCCGATGTCAATTAAAAAAGCAAAAAGAAGTATGCAATCCTGCTTTCTAAGAATCAGTTCAATATTCTAATACAGTGAGACTAGTTTAGAATCCTTAATTCTAATTCGTAATAGAAGTAGAGAACTGTTTCAAAATACAAGAAATCGAAATTTTATTGTTTTTATGGCTTAATTAGCCCTATCTTTAGTTAAAATAGCTGATGCAAAAGATGTCATTCGACATTTCATTATGTATTTTGTAAATTTTTTCACAACTAAGTGTCTCCCGCAGAGTGTCGTGAAATTTGTAAATGATGCATTACATCCATCGAAACAGAATAAAAACTATTGAAACTTATTTTTTTTTCATAGACAATGATTTACATATCGAAGATATCTAAAAAGATTGAAGAGTAAATTTATTCCTTGTTACCATTGATATTGAAGGCAACTTATATAATACTAGATTAATGTATCTTGAAAAGACGAGCATATTGATAAGAACAGTGTTTCATTTTACAATTTTCGTTTCAAAATATTGTGTACAACTCAGCATAATGCAATTTGTGATTTATTTGATACTGGGATTATCTATTACAAAACAGTTTCAGCTTAAAGTGGTAACCAGAGACACCAGACTTTGATATTTTGGCATAGCTGGCGGAACTATTGTAAATGAAAAAAGAAGTCGTTTGAATCACTGATTGCTTTACGTAAAGCATATTTAAACCATACGTGACCTTTATGTGATAGCAGTGGTACTTATAAGAATCGCCACGACCAACAAAAATAACAATAACGGAAATCTATGATGAACATTGTCTATTTTGTAAATTCCAATTTGTTTTAACTTATTTTGAACCACATGAAAATTTGTCTTTTTTTATTTGATGAAAAGAAAAAATATGATTTAATAGGAAAATGTAATGATTAGTACTACACTAGCACCACAATCAAAAAGACAGCATGCATGGAGCAAAGAGTATGATTTTGATTGAGCAAGAAGTGTGAGAATTAATATATGCCATTTGTTGTGACCTGTGTTGAATGATAAATTCAAACTATTCACCTTTGATTACATTTGATCATATAATAAAACTATAACGAAGTAAGGGTGTGGATATGGGTGAATGAGTCTCACAATGGGTATGTATATGGATGCGTTCATCACTCTCTATTGATCCGCATTCACACCTTTGAGACAGCGAAAAAATCTGATTTGCCGAAGTTATAACCCAAAAAACATGACATAGAAGTTTTTCTATTAGATAAACTGAATCTTGAATCTGATTGGCTTGAGCTGACAAACTTTACAAATATTTTCTACGATAAAGCCATTTCGTTCGGAAAACGGAATAGACTGAGTTGCATCGTTCAATTTACCCAATAAAACATCAAAATGATTGTCGAATTGGCATTTAAGGGTACCCCCCCCCCCCGCCCCGTTTCCGGAGTTTCTTGAGAACGACTCATCAGAAAATTTTGAAATTTTCAGGGCAGATAGATCTTGATGAGTACAGCAAAAGTTGTCATAGATTCAAAATTCCCTGATGCTGTCTTCTATGAGGTCATAGGGTCACAATGTCAAAAAATGGTCCTAGTTTTCGCCCCCGTTTTTTCCAAGACGATATGTTCGATTGAGCTGAAAGTTTTTTTACGGGTAGTAGGCACTGTTTGGGGTGCACAGTTTTTTTAGTTTCTTTTTATCTTTTGTTGTTTCAATAAAAAAGTCAAAATACTAAGCATACCCTTAAAAACGCTTGTTTTTATTCCTCTAGCAAAATTTTGTGAAAGCTGCCAAAAATCACCAGAGCAATAATTCTTGAAAAGAAAAAAAATACTCACCCCAAATGGTGAGTAGAATATGTAAAAAAAGTTTTAGCTCGATCTCTCTTACCATGCCGGAGAAACGGGGGCCAAACAGTACTTTTCCTACTAAAAGTTTAATTTTGAGAAAAAAGCAAAAAAATATAAAATCTTAGCTATTTTCACTATGTAAATTTAATTTCTCCTCGAATTCTTTAATCTTTAAAGGCGATTGTTGGGTTCCACAATATAGTCAGTAGATAGACAGTACTTGAAACTATACAATAGCCACAAAAAACCAACAATGAAAAAAAAAACAAAAATTTTGGGTGAGGAAAGGGGATACCCTTAAGGCTACATACGAATTCATTAATGGATGCTTATAGAATGACGATGATGTGAATGATTTTGTGTAATTTTAACCTATACTAAGAATGCAGATCAAACTACTTCGCCCAGTACATATAACTTTCAGGATAAATTTTTCGTAGTGTTTAACTATGAATAAACACTCGTCTAAAAATATTGATCGGTTGCCGTTAAAAATATTGTTTTTCATGAATCATAGTTGATGGACAATAATGAAAGAATATCGTTTCGTATCAACATTTGTCTATTTGAAATCTATTTGTCATTACTTGATAGAAATATTTTTCATGCTATTATTCATATTCATTAGCTATTTATCACACGAAAAAAAAATTGTTTAGTGATAATACAACGAATTTTATATGAGCTGTTAAAAACTCATCGTTATTTTTTCGAAACATAATAATGGATGCAGAACAATAGTTCAATAAACTGACCTCTCTTTGGTAAAATTCAGGATTGTGAATTGTGAAAAACGAACTGATAAGATAAAAACTAAAAAATAAGTTTATTTCAAGAAATTCCGCATTTTAGAAAAAAAAGTATTTTCTATCAAAAGAAAGCAGACGCCGAAAATCGTAAGGTTTTGATAGTGATATAATCTTTATCTGATTCTTTTCCTGGATTTTGTATCAGAAATAAATACAATAAAAAAGATCCCATAAATCTATTGAATATTTTATTCATAAAGCAAATTCTAAGTTAAAATATATTTTAGAGAATTAGATGAAAAAAGAGATTAAATGAAAAACAAATTTGTATTCAATTTATAAGCTATAAAAAGGTCGTGGATGTTGATCATTGTTATTAATGTTATGAGATCAATGTTTGTTAGCTGTAAAAGTCGATAAAATATTGTTTATTAATGAAACAAATTGCACATTGCTGTCTTACAATCATCTTGGTTTTTATTTTCTTGGCCATGTGGACGTTGTCGATTTTTTTCTATAATAGATAATGAATTTAGTTTTAGAAATTTTTAAAGTAGAACATTACCTGATTGTTGAGGACGTTGTCTCATTTTCTGTCCATCACGTTTTTGTTTGAAGCAAATAAATTTTACCATCTTTGGTTTCTTTTTATTTTTTTTGTCACCATCATCTTCCTCATCACTTTCATCACTATATTCATCATCACTTTCATCATCATTTTCATCTTCATCGTCATCATTGCCTTTTAATGAATTATTATCTTTATCTTTTTTGTGTTTTTGTGGTTTTCGTCGTCGAAAAGATTGATCAGTTATAGTCAAACTTTCATCTTCACCAATTATATTCTCATCATGTTCGTCGTTATTCTTTTCACTTAAAAGTTGATTTTCAACAGCAATATTTTCTTTTTTGTCATTTTCGTTATCAACAGCTAGTAAACTTTTTTCGGCAACATCACCATCTGTAGGTAACGCCCATATTGAAAGACTTGCAGTAACAAAAAATACAATCCAACAATAGCAACGCATTTTTTTATTTCAAAACTAAATCATAAAATTAAAACAAAGAAAATAATACAATATGTACATGTTTTACTTACATATTACTTATGTAGCAAAATGTAGCGATTGATACGTAACCATTGAATTTAATCGGTTTATATCTATTGCGATATGCACCTGTATAATAAATCCTTAGTAAAGTTTACTAAACAAAAACAAGATTGCTAATATTTAAAAAAAGTAACAACACCTTTTTCTATAGAATCTTAAGGTTTATTATACATTTATCTTAGTAAATATCAAGAGATCGAATGGTTTTCAAGTGCCAATTATGCACCATTTCTTGTTGTCCTTTACTTGGTTATATTTTATTTATGGTACCCTTTCATGTTGTTTTTTCGTTATCATGTTTGTTTGAAAACAAGTAATGACATATTACTCTGACCAAAGTAAATAACATATTGGATTTTGTTTCTCTACGATTGTGGTTTGATTTCATGTTTGTAATACGGATACATATTAATTATTTAACATAGTTTGAAAGCTTAAGCTCTATCAAATAGAACTTCATTAAGAAAACTAGAAAAACTTACTTTTTTCAGTAATATCTAGCATTTGATGCATACATTAAATTTTCTCGATTTCGTTTCTAATTTTAGAAGCTATCCGAATTTGTTCATTCGTAAAAAACGCATTCTTATTTAAGTTATATTAAGTGTGACAAAAGTTTTGCAACATTTTGAATGTTCTGCTCAAATCACAAGACCAAATCTTAATAAGTTTTGTCAAAATTTTAATAGACTGCTAACATTGCAGACGTGTATTATCATGTTATTTTCTACGAAGAAAAATAATCGAAGACCTAGCGTGATCTTCAAAGCATGCAGATTACTACTCATCCACATCTCAAATACAAGCGAAAATAACTCCTATGTCAATTGATTTGGATGCTTCGTTCAGACATAAAACATTGCTTTTGCTGTGTTACCTTCAAATACATCGTCTAAAAACAGTGAGTATGATACGCGAATCGCTAGATAAAACATCTTTGACTGTTGAAAAAAATAGTAAAACAGAAATAAGCTTAACATAGTAATACCATGAAAACTTGGTTTCAATAGACGATGATGAAAATATATTGAGGAGAAATCAGTACTAATCTTGTAGGAGATATCGATGAAATGATGAACTCGATGATTTTTTTACAGTGTCTGGGACAGCTCATTTTATCTAACGATTGATTTAATTAAAAATGACCTTCATTGTCGATCATAAAATGAAACTTTCCCGATTTTTCTTGGTGAATGATACACGTGTTCGGTGTTAATATGCTATTAAAATTTTGACAATAGTCATATAGATTTAGTCTTGTAACTCAAGTAGAACGTTTGATGGCGCATCTTTTGCAAAAAAAAGATCAACGTTTAATTGAGTTACATGCAAAACAAAAAATATTGCAAAACTTTTGCCACACCCGTTACTTGTATTTGTCTCAATGATTTTTTTCATTTGACATCGTTGAAACTTTCAAAGTAAATAAAGTAATCAAAGAGATATATATTTTATGTTAATACAAGATCAACCGATAATTGTAAAGAGCAAAAAACGACGAAATATAATATTTATTTATATCAAGAGGTTCCCTTAAAGTTGAAATAAACAATAAAAACAAAGCAACGATACAAAACAAAATTGTTCGCTGAAATTTTGATTAACATATCTATATCAAAGAAAAAACTAACTAAATGTGTTTATTTTTTATTGTCGGTTTTGTTTAATAACGAAATATAATACAATTGATTTGGTTGTTCTAATCGAACAACAAGCCATTGTTGATTATCATTATTATTGTTCATAAAAACAGCATTTTTAATACGTTTATTGATAATATGGTCATCCATTAATTTAATATGACCGTTTGAATCAAGTAAAAATAATAAATGACCATTACTATCAATAATAAGATATTGTTCAGAATCAAAATTAGATAATAAACATGATGAATACTTATCTAAATGATCTATTTTAATACCTTGTCGAATAATTTGTAAATCATAATCAAGTAAATCTACTCGCCATTCAAATATTTTTGTTGATTCAACAGTCCATGCAACATAATTTGATGTCATTCGTATTGTTCTTATATGTTGATGAGCACTTTCAAATAATTCATGATTTGACCAACGTTTTATATGTTGCCAAGATTTTGTACCAATCTGAGAATTCCATCTTTCAATATAACTACCTGATTTAAATAATATAAATACATCAGGTCGGGTTACAGTTGATGCCATTGTCCATAAACGATTTCCTCGTATAGATTTTATTGAATCAATATGTAAAGGTATAGTTGGATTTTCATATGACCATGTAAACAAACCACGATTTGTTATTATACAATATACATTTAAATAATACGAATATGTTAAATCACATGGTTTACCATATTCATCTATATCCCATAGATATGAATTTAATTTTGATTGATTATTATATAAAATTAAATTTGATGTAATATCATCATAAGTTAATGTATTATTATTTGATGTAGAAAGTAATGTATTATTACTTGTTAAGTCAAATAATTGAGAATTAGTATGATCTAATTCAATATCATCAAATGGATAATCAATAGTTTGTCGTGGACTTATAACTGTAACTAATTGTCCAAATGATGGTGCTTTTTTAAATATGATATCAATATGATTTTGTCCCTGTGTTAATAAGTTATCTATTTCTTTAAGTTTTTCTAAATAAATATGATTTAAATGTTTTTCAATAGATTCTTTCCATATTGTTAACTTTTGATAAGCTGAGAATGAATTGGATTGATTATGTTCTAATAATGATAATGATTTAACTGATGGAGTAGTTGTTTCATTTGAACTGCTTCGACAACGATTTTTTATTTCCTTTAAACCAATGGATTGATCAGGACTGAATATTTCCAAGGCATTCGTTGTATCAGACATCTATGATCTAGAAAACAAGAAAAAAAACATTTCAATTTAAGTTTTTTTAGATTTATTAACAGTTATTTTATTGAGAAAAAACAAATTGACCTTGATTCATAATGAGTAAACAACAACAAATGTTTGAATGCATAGTTTGCCTATATATAGAAAGTATATAATGATAAAATACAACAAACAGTCATTGAATAAAATGTAAGCCATCTATAATATTCATGCTAAATATATATATTACTTCAATGGTAATATTTTAGAAAGATTTAGCAACCTGATCAATCTTTGAAAATTGTAATAACATCGGTAAAAATTAATTCTTCATATGTAACATTTGCGTAGATTTGTTTCTATTGGATTATACTGACAGTATTTTCTAACATAAAAAACTTAAGGTAGCTATGAAATATCTGACCTAGAACAATAGCATTCTAGTGATATATAGAGTAATATTATCATTAGTATATTAAATACGAACATATATATTCAAAGACAGAGACAGATTGATCAAATACATGACATATGTCATGAAAAGTATCGGATGATGCAATACTAACCGCTTGCACTTTACCTGATAGAAATAACCTTATTGATTCACATAAACCAATTAAATATACATAAAAACTTTTTATATGACTTACAAGATACCATGACATAACATCATGAGCTGTTCTAGCATCAAAAAATTGCTAAATAAAATAATACTACGAATCAGAATATGTATATCAATAAAAGAACGTACTAAGAGATGAAAAATGCTGATGTAATGAATTTCATCAGACGATATTTATTGGCTTTCGAGAAACCACTATTTAAATCATTTCATTTGGATTGGATTAACCTCTTTAATGTTTGTTATTCGTATTCAATATTCACCAATCATTGAATAAACTGATATCGCTCTTTCATATAATATTTATTTTACGCATGAAATTCTATTGTTTACAAAAAAGAAATTCCGTATAATGCTATACTTCGTGAAATAAACAAGTGTTTTAATCAATTATTTGCTTTCAAAAAAAGAAAAAAAAAGCACTATTAAAAGTCAACTAATAAGCGAATTGATGTTTTTTTTGTGTAGCACATAAAATTATGAATTTCGTTTGTTGAAGTGTACAAAAATTTCATCTCTAGGAGATGTTACTAATTGATGCACAGGTACTACTGGACTTGTTGGGTCAACTAATGTTACTTTATATATTCGTATAATACCAGCTATAAATAAACCCGCTTCATATTCAGCAAAACGATAACCAGGACATATACGTTTACCAGCAAATCCAAACGGTGAAAAAGCTAATTTTGGTAGTTTCTTATTTTCTTGATCAAATCGATCTGGATTGAATTCAGACGGATTTATCCAGATTTTATCATCTTGTAAAAGGACACCAAGTGCTTGAATAATTGGAGTACCAGCTGGAATGTTTTTTCCACAAACATTTATATCACTATCCATTGAAACTCGAGCTGCCCATGGTGCTAATACTGAAGCACGTAATCCTTCGTGAATAATATTTGATAAAAAGGGCATTTTATCAATTTGGTCGAATGATGGAAATTTTGTATTATACGTTTCTATAAGTTCATCAAAAAGACGTTGTTGAATATTTTCGTCCTTTCCTAAATAATATAAAATCCATGTAAGAAGATTTCCTGTTGTATGAAATCCACCAACAAGCATAGTAATAACTTCATCACAAATATGTTCTTCACTAAGCACATGTTCACTATCATCTAATAAATAATCAATAAAACATTTATGATCATCCCCTGCTCGTTGACGACGTTGAGAAACAATTTCTTTGATTTTTTCAAATAAAAAATTTCGTGCTCGATTAAATTCACTTTCACGTTTAGGATTTATTGCTTGACCTTGAATACGCATTTCCATTTCATGCCAACATGTATGATAAGCTTCTTCAATGCGGTGTCCATCATCAACTGATAACAACAATCCAAAAGCAGCTAATGTTATAGATTGTATTGCCATAGACAACATTTCAGATTGTAATCCAATAGGTTTTCCTTCCATTGATTGCCATACAATCATTCTTTCATTTAAAACACGTTGAAATATATCAAAAAAATGTGTTCGAAGAGCCATAGGTGATAAAGCAGCATCATAATGATTTTTTCGACGATATCGACCAATATCACCATTAGCATATTGTATACTATTAGCACCCATTAATGGTTCAAATGGAGCAAAAAGACATACTGGTCTATCAAATAAACGACGTGTATCATGAAAAGCTTCTGGTGACGCTATACTAACTACACGTTGTTTACCCCAATAAAATGAAACAACTGGACCAAAGTCTTTATGTAATTTAGTTAAATATTGATGTAGACCACCAGCTCGACCTATATCCTCAAGATTACCCATTTCAGGATGAGATGCATCTACGCCAGGAATATCGAATTTCTGTTTTGAACTACGACGATATAAAAACCAGATAACACTGAGCACAAATATTATTGCAACTAATATAATCGAAAGCATACTTCCGTTTTTGTAAGACTAAATGATGAAAGTTTTCTTATTTATGGTAAACGTAGGTCAATTTAGTTTATAATACTGTCATATGACGACTCGTTCTTTTTCTTTTATCAGATAAACAACCCAAACTATCATTTGTATTTATTATACACCAATCATCAATTTTCGTTTTATTTTCGTGTTTGGTATTAATAAACGAAAGTCTAAGATTTTTCGTTTTTACATAATCAAATGGGTTTTGTTTGAAAAATTCATGTTAAATTAATAGAAAAAAATATTAGACTTAACAAAGTTCATTTTTTTAACAGGATCATTTTAAAATATGATTAAAATCATCAAATGAAAATTCTCTTCATTATTATAATCAGCAGAAATGACACTTAGAAATACTCAATCAATCGATACTTCATGTATAATACTTTGTATGTGGTGACATAGTGTCGTTTTTTTATTCAACAGAATTTTTTAAAGAATTTTTTACTTTTAAATATTCTTCGATAATAAACGAAATAGTAATTCGTTCATACAAAAATATTAAATGTTATTTTTTTTAAAATCTTTATCGATACTAACACACTCTATTTGTTTATTGGATTGGTTAATTCAATTCACGAATCTTTTTCTAAGAAAACAACAGAAACATGTATACGTTTCCACAAGTTATATGACGGAATTATAAAACTTAATTATTTGATTTTATTTTCCTCTAGATGTTCAAGAGTATTCAAACAACAGCAATAGTTGTAACAAGTGTTGCTATTATATTAACATCAATCTATTATCAACCATTGAAAAGTAATAAAAACGTTTCAAATTCTAATCATTCAAATGAATTGTTCAAATGTTTAAATGAATTAATTGAACTTCGTCATGAACTTAATGATCTGAAAAAAGAATTCTATGATTCTGAACAAACTTTTTCATTTCTAAATTTAATAATCACATTCATACGAACAATATTTTCTTATTTAAAATATCTATCATCATCATTTATTCTTTATACATTTATTCTTTATTTTTTTCAATCATGTATTTCGAATAGATCAGCAGCACAAACTATTAAACTATTACACATTGTAAATATCATATCGTATTCATTGATATCGATATTTTATACATCATTTCAACATTTTCAATATTCAAGCTTAGCTTGGTTGCTTTTTGTTTTATTATTGTTACGCCTTTGTATTCATTAACATTTTATGTTTCAGATTTAAATAGAAAAAAATAACGCTAGATCATGAGTTGTCCAATGTTTATGTATGGTTTAACAGCTGGTTCAGTTATACCATTATCAATTGTTTATATGATGCGACCTGAGAGTTTAAAAAACTTATTTGATTTAATATCATCATCATTATTAATTGCATTTAATTGGTCCGAAGGTGTTGCTCAACGTTTTAATTTAAGTAATGATTTATTTTTTAATAATGATATCAATCAAACAATATCAATCAAAATGTATAGTTGTTATACAATTGAATATTGGTATAATATTTTTTCATGGATAATTTATTTTTCTTTTATATTATCATTAATATTATTTATATTAAATCAACGTTTTAAGAATTCTGAAGAAGACTTATTTCATAATAATAATAATGAATACGAATATAGAACAACAGATTTTGTTTTTTATTATTTTTGCATCTTTATTCTTGCTATGACATCAATATTAATACGAATTCTTATGGAACATTATCTACTTGGATATTTGAAACCATTTACTATTGTATATTTGTTGTGGTATATTGTTTCATTTGCTATTGTATGGTTATGGAATAGATAAAAGAAAAAAACAAGAACTTCTTATGAATAGAACTTGTGCTTAGTTTTTTTGTATTTTAGAACAAAACTATTTACCTATGAATGAAACTAATTTAACATCAATTATATTCGGTATTATTGTTGGTTTTTATAGTACAATATTTCTTCTTTGTCTATCTGATATTGTATATTTAAGTAAAGAAATGATAAAAATTAAAGACAAAATAGATGATATTCGAAATATATATACAAATCAAAGTTTCTTGAATCAAATACCATCGATTAATTATTCTCATAGTAAAAATTCATTAATGTCATGTGCAACAAAAAAAATTTCCGGTCAATTATGTTTATCATATAATGAACAACGTCAAATACTTGATTATATTAATTTTATATGTAATATGTCAATACTTATATTTACGAGTTATTCACTATATATTTATGGTATTGGTACACATCATGGTTTAAAATATCGTTTTCTTTTTTTTCTTTTTAAACTATTACTTATAATTCTATCAATATGGCTAAATCTATATTTTAAACAAGGTTTACCAAATGATATATTTCTTTATATATGGATAGATATTAATTGTATTATATCAATCTATCGTAGTTTACATCAAACAATATAAAATAAAAATTTCGAAATAAAAAACAAAAAGAAAAAGAAGATATTGTTTTTTGTTTATTGTTTTTCTTTTTTTAGATAATTGAAAAATAGTATAAAATGCCATCAACATTATTGAATCAACTACGAATGATGTTCCGTACAACAACAACGAATCGTGAATTAGCATTAGCTAATAATTATACATATGTTAATGAAGATAAAATTTCACGATCATTAATATGTCCAATATGTTTAGATCCATTAATTGATCCTCAAACACATATGTTATGTGAAAATTCATTTTGTAATCTTTGTATAAGAAAATTAAGACAATGTCCTTGTTGTCGAGCATCAATTATTAATCCAAATGATTTAAAAATAACAAGTCATGTTTTAAGAAATATTCTCGATGAACTTGAGGTATGATAAAAATTTTTAAAAAAATATCAATCACTAGAATGATTAATACAAATTATTATTAGATTATTTTGTTAAAGATTAACGAGTTATGTCTTTATCGAATCAATAGATTTAGAATGTAAAGAATTTAGTGTAAAAATTAAACTAAGAATTAATTTCAATGTATAATTTAAGACAGATTTCTATAGGTCATAGCATATTAAAATTTACACATTATTTCACTGTTTTTGAAAAATGAATTTTTGGGGCGTACAAAAATTAGTTTTAGAATCATTCATGTTCAAGTTTTTCTTTTGTTTCAAAATATGATGCGCTGCTTGTTTTTCCCGAAGTTTATTAAAAAACCTTCGGTTAAAATAACATGCATTTTTGAGGATGCAAGAAAAATTTTGCTTCAAACGGAAGGAAATGAAAAGAAAACAAACAACAAATAGATAATTCAAACAGTGTCTTGCATCTATAAAAAAAAGTACTTGGCTCTGTTCAAAGCTGTGTGATTGAAAAGGACAGAATACACTTTTAGTTCTAGTAATTCAAATATCTCATACAGGAAGGCATTCAAGAAGTTTAAGTCTATGACAACTTTTGCACTAATCATCGAGATCTATCTATCCAAATGACTTTCAATGTGTTCTCATGAACTATTCTTAAAAAGTGCTAGAAAGAGGACTCATCTTCAGTCTTATACGGAGCGATTATAATTGATAACATAGAATTCGAATCTATAGATATTGTTCTCATAAATTCCATTTAAGGGTAGCCTACCTGTCTTTTTCAAATGTTTCTGGCTCTTGAAGATGATACGATGGATCAAGCTGAAACTTTTATACTAAAAATAAGCAAACAAAGTTAGAACTAAACTGTTGCTGAAAAGCCCGCATGTTGCATGGAGCCGCATTATGGTACGATCTTCATCAAACGTCATTCAATTATGTTGAAAATGTTTTTCGAGACACCTAAGACTATATTCCGGAGATAATTTTAACGCTTTTCCAAATATCTCACTTTTTTTTCTATAAGAGAAATACGTAAAAGTTTCGAATCAACAATGAAAACGATCAATTTCATCTCTGAAGAATACTTCCAAGTATCAGTGATAAAAATTTCAGGTTGATCGATTGTACCATCTTCAAGAATTAGAATAGACAGGAGATATCATTAAACAAATTTGATCAACTTTCTAGACAATCTGATCGAAATTCTTATATAGTTCCTTTGATTATTAATATTTATTCATTTCCTTATTTTTCTCTTTTAATGAATCATCAGTCTGATCATCTATCAGTATAGGTATACTCATTTGAAAATGTCCATTCACTCGATTGAAATACCTTCACAAACCTAATCGTCATTTTATTCTATTTCTTTTACTCACGAAGGAACTACCCCAAGTAACGCTCATTGTTGGAGTTCATAGTGGGCTTATATTCGAGACTTAAATCAGACTAGAGAAAGCTTAAAAGGATTTGCTCCCATTGACTTGTGAAGCTATGGTAGAACTATTTTACTAAATTTGCAACCAATTTTAATATATTTACAAAAAGACTACCTAATGGAGTCTTATCTATAGATACGTTGAAGAATCCTTGGAATAGTCTGAAAGTTTCAGTTGAAAAGAATGCTCTTTCGTCAAGATGTTAAATTATTAAAAAATAGTTGCATATTACAAGCATGACACAGAAAATCCAGTTTACTTGCAAATTCAATATCTCGACTAATGAACATTCCTTTCAGCTGAAACTTTTAGAATATGTTAAAGAGTATTCGCCGTATATATGGGCACAACTTCATGTCGAAGTTCTATTATTTCATTTTTTTTCGTTGATATCTAAAAATTGGTTGAAAATTCAATAGAGTGATCCAAACTTAGCTCTGAAACCTCCATAGAAACGAATCCTTTTAAGCTTTTGCTAATCTCACTAAGACTTTAACTGTAGACTCAATATGAGCTCAAACGATGTGTGTTACCTAAGGTAATCCGTTCGTAAGCATTGTAATCCTATCCCTATTTTTTTTATTCGTAACATGTTTTCATATACAAATTAATTTATTTTCAGGTTCAATGTAATGTTTGTAAACAAACATTATCTCGAGGTAATTTTCCTATACATATTCGAAATAATTGTCTCAAACATTCGTTAATAAGTCCTGAAGATGAAGAAAATTTAATGAATATTTCATCAACATCAATTGTAAATAATTCAACAACAAATCAAAATTCATTAGATGAACAACAATTAGAAAAACATTTATCAAATTTATATCGTCGTATACATATATTAGAAACAGAATTATTTGAATTAAAAAAAACATTATATATATGTTTATTTGTTTTATTAACAATATCAACATTAATATTTTTTGGTTCAATATTTTCATATATAATAATATCATTTTTATCAGTTTTTTTTAAACAATGGTTACCATCATTTATTGAAACATTAACAAAATTTTTATTTGATTTTTCACCATTAATGACATTATTTCGAATCGTATTTATTGGAATTTATTTTTTTCTCATTTGTTATAAACGTCGTCCATCGGATATAAATCTTTTAACAATAATTATTTGTTTAATTATTGTTTTATTTAATTTACTTATACTTATTATACATTTAATTATAACATATTTTAATTTTTTATTTCTTATGTTTATTGTAATTATGCTTGGAAAATATTTTCATATACAATTACCTAATAATGAAGAAGTATCTAATTTTTTAAATCATATTCGAAATCAATATCAACAACAACGTCGATCATTATCATGAATATACAAAAGAAGAAGGATTATATTCTTGTAAATATTTTTCAAATTTGAGCATTTTACTTGTTTTTTCATCTTTTATTAAATAAAAGGATATCTTTTTTTTTGAAAATTTCTTTTTAACTATTTTTTTTTTATTTCTTGAAAATATTTCAGAAATTTGATTTGATGCAAGTAATATGTCGATTAACAATGATTGCGAGCGTGTATTAGACTTTTTTCTCAAAATGATTAAATTTACGAAAAAATAATAAAATATTGTATGTCTTTCATTGGTTGTATAACAAATTCGGTATGATGGCAGTGATGCAGGTTTATTAACTTCGTTGGAAAATCATACAAATTAAACAATGTATTTATTTATTAGATGAATATGTTAATAATACAGTGTATGTGAAGAACAAATATAAATATTAAACAAAAAAAGTATTAATCAATTGTATTCAATCTTTTTTTAATAGTGACATACAATTTTGTGAAATACCATCTAAAACGACTGTTGAAGTAAATAGTGTAGAAATTTCAACTCATTCCCTATCTAGACCGTGAGACATACATTGTTCATATGTAATTACGTACATTTCACCAGTAACGATTCATTAAAATATATGAACTACTGCCTTATTGCATTTCTGGAAGACTAAGTAAAATGAGGGTGAAAAAACTGTGTCCCAAGATATACAGAATAAAACAGACTTCCTCTGATTAGCAACAGTAGCTTTATTACAGAAATTGTACTAACAGCTCTTTAGACTAGACTGGCAATGAAAATCAATGACTCTAGTCAAATCTTTGACAGTTATAAATCTTTAAAATGTTTTAAGTATACTCCATATTGTATAAATTAGACACTAATATCAAGTCAACTAACTGTCTTTTCAATAAATTAGATTTAGTTTTAGGATGTTTTACGTTGCAGAAAATATTGTTTCATGTCGTCTTGTAAACTTCATTTTATTATCCTTATGGAAGAGATGGAATAGACAATGGAATCGAATCTTTATTAAATGAATATTGAAAACATAAAAAAATAAAATAATATTTTGATTTATTAATGAGATATTCTTTCGACTTACTTCAATATCTAGACTGGTTCTCAATAAAGATGAACTAGTGAGCCAAACAAAAAGAACGAAAACTAATACATTCATTTTTCATAATATGTAATAGATCATTGATGTTACAGATATCAATCCATTTAGATTAGGCATTCATCGACCTCAATCTCAGGCCCGATGTCCCAGTTTCAAAACTATCTAACCAGTTCAGACACTGTTGAATAGAGACCAAAGCATTTCTTGAGGTGTATTATGTCTACCGATTTTTAGTTTTAGGATCATTGCTTCCATTTGTGTGCGAATCTACAATAGTTAAATCTGAAATTAAATTGTTTAGAAAAATATTTTTCGCGAAATTTTGAAAAGTCAACTATTAATGTTTCGTGAATATTATAGCACAAGAAATGCGTTTAAAAGTAGTTTCATTTTATTGTATAACATCCTATTCAAATAATTTTGATCTGTTTTTCTTATTGCGGCGAATCTAAATATATTTCTTAATAGGTGAAGAACAATCAGATCCAGAAACAGCAGTGATAATACCAATCAATGTGTTTTAAATCAAGTTGTTGGAAATAATCACTTATAAAGAAAAGCTGGTGGTTCAATAGATTCACATTATTCTAATCAAAAACAAAATTGAATATTTTTGAAGCATCAGATCCTGATCATATTTTTTTTATATCTGAAAATTCTAATAAAAATTTTCCTTTTTGTTAATTTAATGTAAAACTTCCACAAATCACATTTTATGTTGTTTTCTTTTTGAAGATTAAA